AGGATATCTATGAGTAAGGCACATCTTTTCCCCTGTAAGGTAGTAAAAACTTAAGAAACAGTCTGCTGTAACTGTCTAGTACTTTATGCTGCTAGATCACTGTAATTTACTCATTAACTTTTAGCTTTAAACTAAAAGTCACTGCTATTTAGGTTTGTTAAATCATATTTAGGTCATTTTATGATTGAAATATTCTGTAAAACGACTTTCAAAGTCACTCATTGATGATTGCTAGACACAGTTTGAGCACTTCAGAGTATTCTTGCTAAATAATACATACTTTTTGATGTCATAGCTAAAATTTTGCAATAGTTCATTCTGGAATTGTACAATGAAATGTACAAAAAGCATCTGCAGTGTTTTAATAGTGTTTTAATCGTACCCTTTTAGTGAGTTTAATAAGTTATTGAGCCTTTTATGCTCTTATTCTGTTTTGGCATATTGCATAATAAATGACAAAAATGTAAGTATATATTATAAAACTACGAGTACCCACATAGGTACCACACACACCTTTAGATATTTTGCCAGATTAATTTGATTCTTTTTATAAAACAGCTGTTTCACGGCTAGTAGAGATGTGAAGGGTTAACCATTAATAGGTGAGGCTTACTGGTTCTGGGAAAACTGGTGGGTGCTGGAGTGGCCCACCCGCCCACCTCCCCTATTAACTGGTTAAACATTGCATTTAACAGGTAAACCAGTTAAATGCGATTTTACATCCCTAACAGCAAGAGAGTAAAGGGAAACTTGGCGACGATTTCTGTTTGTTCATTTTAAAAGATCTTCATGTTATGGAATTCTCCACCTGCCCCCACCATCTCCCACCTGCCCCCCCACCCTCGTGTTGGTGCCTCTGTTCAAGAGGCAGCAACAGAGGGTGGGGGTTGGGAGGTGGTAGGCGGCTCCCCAGGAGCTTAAAAGCCCCCGCACATACCAGGAGCCTGCGTGTAACCGTGAATGTTAACTGATGAGCCCAGACGCATTGGTTAACCATGTACATGGTTACACTTTCACATCCCTAAACAGAAATAGTAACCTTTTATTATTTTGATGTGTTTTGTTTCTTTCATTTAAAAATGCTTTCATTTCCCATTGAACTGTTATTTTCAATATTGTGTTTAATGATACATTGTGAAAGTTAAGGTTAGGTATTCTACCTGGTGCATGTGTTCCAGATAACTCACTGGGTGAAATCCTGGCCTCATTAAAGTGAATGTGAATTTTGTAATTGTCTTGAGTGGGGTCAGGATTTCACAGAATGAGGTAAGCTTGAAATGTTTTAGCTCTTGATGAATTATTGAGCCTTGAATGAGGGCTGCTCATTAGATCAGCCAAGAAGTGTTATATAGAAGATACCACCAACCAGAATTGTAGTTCATATATGAAAATGAAATAATAAATCAGTAATTGCTACACAGAAGGAATCCAGACCTTGTAGGTACTTAGTATCTTCAGCTCACCTTGATGCTGAGCGTGTTGATCATCCTGAAGGATGTGTGCATTATTAAGGAGGGCTAAGTGCTAAAAGTCCCAACACTCAATTTTTGCTGGAAGTATTGTTTTATGTCATTTATGGTGCAGCTCTGAGAGTCATCTTCAGTAAGTAACAGTATTAAGAACTAGTCATGGCAACATTCCTAGCTTTGTCCTGTTGGAAACAAGCTTCTGTGTACAATTGAATTGGTGGTTAGGTGATCTTTCTCCCCCTTTTCAAGCTTGAAATAAAGTCTCGCCCAGCACGGCCTCATAAGAACATTGCATGATTCAGCGGTAGCTCTTTATTTAGTAGGGATATCCTTGAACTTTCATGTGGATAAATGCAGCAAGTGTGTTTATTTCATTTCCTTCCACAAAGATGATATTTATAAAATTAAATTCTGTGTATCCAAATATTTATTATTGCTGAAGCCATGATTATGAACCTTGAAATTATGGTGTTGACAGTTTTGTACTTTTAACTTTGGTTTGGCCATATGTGTAGTCTTAATTACTCTGCAGATGTCTTTGCTTTCCAAGGGATTTTATTTCAGCCTGATGAAATGGTAGGTGTTGGGTGCTAATTGTCTTATATTTGAAGTGTCTGCTTGGGAAAATAAAACGGGAACTGGCCAGATTCAGTCACAGATCACAGTGCTGCTAACCTCAGAATGAAAATCGTAATTTAAATATGCACAAGGGTTCTCTGAAAAAAAATAATGTTCTGATAACACCAAATTGATATTAAATTCCTTAAGCACGATTAAGGGTTACTTTTTAAAAATTCTATTCAGGGATTTTAACTGGTCTCATTGACTTTCATTGGCGTTCCCTGGCTAAACCTGTGTAATGCTTTGACAGTTTAACTGAAGCATATTTTCCCCCTGAGGTGTATATGTCACTCCCACATCTATTGTATGCTTTAGATTGTACCATTCTCATGGATCATAATACCTAACAATAAGATAAAAATAAATATACACAACTGTATTAAGAAGCAACACATGAAAAATAAGCAGATAAAAAGGTACAGGCAGTCCCCGGGTTACATACAAGATAGGGACTGTAGGTTTGTTCTTAAGTTGAATTTGTATGTAAGTCGGAACTGGTGCTTATTGTAGGGGAAACTCTAGCCAAACATTTCTCCAGAGCTCAGTTTTATTCTCCCACACCTCACTTCCCTCAGTCCTTTATTCTTAAGCTGAGGTGTCTACTGAGAAAAGCCGCTCTGCGTCTCCCTGGTCAGCTGGGGGCGGGTGCTAGCTTTGCGTCTCCCTGGTCTGCTGGGGGGAAGCAGCTAGTGTGGGGTTGCCTCACCCCATTTGTAAGTAGGGATCCGATGTAAGTCGGATCCATGTAACCCGGGGACTGCCTGTAGTCTGAAGTTTAGGTTTGAAACTACAGGTTGAACCTCTCTAGTCCAGCACCTTCAGGACCTGACTGGTGCCAAACCAGAGAATTTGCTGAACCACGGAAGATCAATATTATCTAACAGCATTACCAACACTTCCACTGCTTACTGGGCTCTTAGAAGACATTTAGGGCTACATTAGAGTTAAATAACAGCACAGAACACTGAGAACCAGGACTGGTGGCTGTAAATATACTTATGGGATCATAGAAAATTTGGCCACACCCATGCTCACCTTGGCTAACTAAAATCGTGCTGGATCATGGATGTTGCTGGACCAGAGTGTGCTGGACTAGAGAGGTTCAACCGATAATTGTTTAGTGGCAGTATACTATACACCCACTTCATGTCTCTGAGGTAGATAGAATTCCATGCAATGTGTGCCCTGGTACATAAAGGACACAAAGTTGAAATGCAGTCTGTGTGGCAATGTAACTTATTTTTTAGTGTCCATAATTTGTGGTAGTTTTTGTTGGAAACAAAACGTTTTTTCCTTAAGAGGGACCATGATTCCTTATTCATAGATTGTAGGGACAGAAGGGACCACTGTGATTATCTAATCTGACCTCCTGTATAACACAGTCTAGAGAACTTCCCCAAAATAATTCTTTGAAAATATCTTTTGGAAAATACATCCAAACTTGCTTTAAAAATTGTTAGAAATGGAGACTCTACTACGACCCTTGGTAAATTGTTGAAATGGTTAATTATGCTCAGTGTTAAAAATGTATGCCCCATTTTCAGCCATTGGCTCATGTTATATTTTTCTCTGCTAGACTGAACAGCTTGCCATTTAAATGCTTGTTCCCCGTGTAACAAAATACAGGACTATGCAGCACTTTTTAAAGACTAACAAGATGGTTTATTAGATGATGAGCTTTCGTGGGCCAGACCCACTTCCTCAGATCAAATAGTGGAAGAAAATAGTCACAACCATATATACCAAAAGATACAATTTAAAAAAATGAACACATATGAAAAGGACAAATCACATTTCAGAACAGAAGGAGGATGCTAAAATTCGACACTTTATGCCGGGGTCTTAACAAAGACTCTAGTTATCTTACCCATTACAAAGATAGCTTCCCCAATTATCACCTCTAATAACATTAGCTCACAGACATTTACCTTCCCCCTCCCCCCGCGCATCCCCCTTCTGTTCTGAAATTTGATTTGTCCTTTTCATATGTGTTCCTTTTTTTTAAATTGTATCCTTTGGTATATATGGTTATGACTATTTTCTTCCACTATTTGATCTGAGGAAGTGGGTCTGGCCCACGAAAGCTCAGCAACTAATAAACCATCTTGTTAGTCTTTAAAGTGCTACATAGTCCTGTATTTTGTTTCAGCTACACCAGACTAACATGGCTAAATTTCAATCACTGTTCTCCATGTAGATACTGATTGTCTGCTACTCAAGTCCCCCATTAACTTTTCTTTTGTTAAGATAAATAGATTGAGCTCTTTGAATTTATCACTGTAAGACATGTTTTCTAATCCTTTACTCATTCTTTTGGCTCTTTAACAAGTCCTCTCCAATTTATCAACATCCTTCTTGAATTGTGAACACCAGAACTGGATATAGTATTCCAATATTGGTTCACCTATGCCAAATACAGAAGTAAAATAACCTCTCTCCTCCTACTGAAGTAGGGATGTGTAAGCAACTAGTCGACTACCTGATAAGCCTGTATCAGAGACAGCAATGGGGGAGCAAGAGCCAGTGCTGGGAGGAGCCAGCTTAAAAGCCGTTCCCCCCCCACTCCAGCACCATCTCCCGGGAGAGGGGAGAGTTAGAGGTGTAGTCGGGAAACTGCAGCGAGTGGGGACTCAAGCAGTACCCACTTGCTCTGGGTCGTGACTGCTGCGCCTCAAGGCATAGCCGCCTGTGGGGCTCTTAATACATTAAAAATGCAGAGGTGCAGCGTGGATAGCGAGTGCTCCCCCTTCTCGACTAATCGAGTAGTCGATGCAAATTCCATCAACTACTCCATTAGCTGATTAATCGAAATTTCAGATCCCTATACTGAAGATACCTTTATTTATGCATAGCAGAAGTGGATTAGTCCTTTTGGCAACAACTTCACAATGAGAGCTCATGTTTTTGCAGATGATCCACTCTGACCCCCAAATCTTTCTAAGAGTCACTGCTTTCCAGGAGAGACTCCGCTACCCTGTAAGTATGACTTATATTCTTTGTTCCCAGCTGCATACATTTACATTTATCCATATTAAAACACATTTTATGATATTTTTATGCCCTGTGTGACTTAACCATATGAAATGTCCAAGTATTAGGGAGAGATATAAGGGTTTAAATATGTATACATCCTCAGCAAGATTAAAAGAAATAAGACAAAAACGAACACAGGACTGGGTGAATAACACGAAGCAAATGTATTGAGACAGCAAGTGAAGGTAAGACTAATCATAGTGTCCATAGAAAAGTGAAGGTTCACTTCTGAATTAATGGCCATCCATTCATAATTTGTATTTCTTCAAAGCCTAAAAGAATGACTAATAGAAAATCAGTTGCAACATGGGAAACCAGTCACTCTCATAGACTCTGAACTCCTTACAGATGTTGGTAAGTGGTTACTCACACAAATAGTGTGAATTGACTTATTTAGATTGGTCCTATGAGTGTAAAACGTTTAAAGTATTGACTTTTTTTTGGTTGCTGTTCACCAAAGGTGCTACATGGACAGAATTGGAGCCCAGTGATGAGCAATGGTTGAGCAAGCTCACCATACATTTATGCTTCAGCCCTGGACCAAAGAGAATATCTCTAAGAATCTGGAGTTTGATTCTCTGGACCTGTTCTGTCCTTGCCTACTGAACTTTGACTCCCTCTAAAGGAGGGATGTAAGTGACCAATTGACTAGTCAACTATCTGATAAGCAAAAGCTTTTGCTTATCGGCTAGTCGACACACTAGTCAACTATTCGCTTCCCCCCTTGCTGCCGCTATCACAAAGAGGCAGAAGTGGGGAGGGAAGCTGAGGGCGTGCTGGAAGGAGCTGGCTTAAAAGCCTCTTCCCCCCAGCTCCAGCTCCATGGGAGGGACCAGGGATGCAGTGGCGGCCAACTTTGAAATGTACAAGAGTCCCCACTGGACTCCTTGCTGGCCCTGGGCTCCACGTGGCATGCCAGCTTTGAAATGTACAAAAGTCCCCTAGCTCCACACCACGTTCCAACTTTGAAATGCACAAGAGCCCCCGCTGGGGACTCTTGTACATTTCAAAGCTGGCATGCCACCTGGAGTCCGGAGCCAGTGGGGAGTCCAGCGGGGACTCTTCCACATTTCAAAGGTGGAACATGGAAATTCTTATTGACTAATCGAACAGTTGATGGAAATCCCATCAACTATTCAATTAGTTAATCGAAATTTAACATCCCTACTCTAAAGGTATTACGACGGTCAGGTCTGCATTGGTACTGAAAATTGATGCAAGATACGCAGCTCCAGCTACATGATTTGCATAGCTGGAGTTGATGCACCTTGCATCAATTTTTCTGGGGCAGCCCCACAGCGGAAGGTCAAACTCTCCTGGACTTCACTTATTCCCTGCGACTGCGTGAATACCAGTATTGATGGGGGGGGTACCTTCAGCATTCAATTTAGTGGGTCTTTACTAGACCCACTAAATTGAACCCCAGAAGATTGATCACCAAGGTGTGGACCCTCCGATAAGTGGAGACACCGGCTTAGTGCTATGGTGGTGTCTGTATTTATCTTGATTTTTAAAATATCCAAATTTATGCCAGTTTCAAATGCCATATTTCCTGCCATCAATTAAAAATATAGTCAGTTAACCAAAAATGGGGATGTCTGTCCTGTAGGAAGACGAGTACTATTCACTACTAATATCATCATTAACAACCAAGGGCTCAGCGCCCGTTGGTGTCCGATGACTCCCTCACTATTTCCTCCATCTTTCCCTGTCCATCTTAGAGTGGCTTAGTTTCTGTATAGCTCCACACCAGTCTACTATATCATCTAACCATTCTCTGTGGGGTCTCCTATGCAGACCATCCATTATGCCGAATACCAGGGTCTTAACTTCTCACTTGTTTTTCATTCTGCAGATATGCCTGAATAGCTGTAATTTCCATTGTATAACCTTCTGCAGTAGGTTCTCTTGTGGCGTTATCTTCCTATATAGTTCCTCATTGGTAACCTTCTGCATCCATCCTACTCTCAGAATTTTTCTATAACAACTCCTCTCAAATGCCAGTATCCTTCTCTTTGAATCTTTCATTATCACCCATGTCTCACATCCATACAACATGCTACTAAATACTCATGTTTTCAAGATTTTCAGCTTTGTTCCTAAGCTAATTGCTTTACTTTTCCAGATCTTATCCATCGCCTTCAAACTCGCTTTTGCTTTCGCTATTCTAGTCGCTATTTCCTACTTACAGTTTAGATCGTATGTCATGTTGCTACCCAAATATGTGAACTTCTCTACGTTCTCTAGTTCGATCCCATTTACACTGATCCTTCCTTCCTATTTCCTTATCTCCAAATACCATTGTCTTCGTTTTATCAATATTCATAATAAGTCATTACCGATTCCCTTCCTCATTTAGCACCTGCACCATTCTCACTAACTTCTCCTCATACTCCTCAATGATACCTGTATCATTCACGAACCTCAAGTTGTTAATTCTCATCCTGTGCACCAATATCTCTTCTACTTTTTCCTTGATCTTGTTCATTGCTCTCTCTAGGTGTGTGATGAAGATACTTGGCGATATAGGATCTCCTTGTCTCATAACTCTGCTCATTCTAAACCAACTTCCCAACTGTCCACACGTTCTCACCACTGCCTACGCATTATTGTTGATATCCTTCAACAGCTGTATCAGTCTGCTATCCACTCTGTATGACTTCAGCACCACCCAAATCACTTTATGATCTATACTATCAAATGCATTCTGAAAATGGACAAAGCAGTTGTAGATGTTCTTGTTCTTTCACAAGCGTTCTCCGGTATCCAACTTAGTGCCAGTATCTGCTGTAGGTTACTTCTATCTTTCCTGAATTCCACTTGCTCATCTGCTACATGTTCTTCTATCTGTGATCTCAATCTCTCCGTCAGTATCATCATCAGCACCTTGTCTAGATGACTCGTTAAGGCAATCATTCTGTAGTTATTGCACTCCAACACGCTTCCTTTCTTGTGTATTATCACTAGTACTACTACTAATCTGTTGTAGATTCTTATACCCCCCCAAATCATGAATTTTCACAATACAATCACTCATGTCTTGATAAAGAATCAGTGGCTCACACATGGAAGGCAGTTCTGATCATAAATCTCCACCCATTTGCAGGAAAGGCAAGGATAGGATCAGCCAGCTCCACATGGGAGGAGGAGGCAGGTATCAGATTGACAATGGATAAACCTGTAGTTGTCTCAGAGTTCAGAGAGAGAGGTTCCAAGCAGCATCTTCATGTTGGAGATCCAGGAGTTAATTACCCATTTATGGTTGTATTGAAGTGAGCTGCTGGAGAGTACAAAATTCCTTTGTGATAGAGCCCAGAGTTTAAGGCTTAAATCTTTGGATTAGGGTAAGGAGGATCTTACTTTTCTCCTCTTTAACTTCTTCCAGCTGCTTTTACTGAGCAATTTTGGGCTGTCGTAGTTCAGAGCAGAGGGGGAAGGGGCAATAAGAGGCCTGTGGGGCGGACAGTGAGCAATTTTGGGCTGTCGTAGTTCAGAGCGGAGGGGGGAGCGGGGAGGGAAGGGGCAATAAGAGGCCTGTGGGCCGGACATGGTTTGCTAGGGTTAGCCTGTTGTGGGCCACGAGACACTTTATTTACCTGCGCATCACAGCTCCCATTGGCCACAGAGCACCATTCCTGGCCAATGGGAGCTGGGAGTGACAGTACCTATCGATGCACAGATAAATACTGTAAAGCGTCCTAAGGCCTGCCATTAGTAACCCTAGCGAACCACGTCTGGCCCACAGGCCGCTTGCTGCCCACCTCTGGTCCAGAGGCTGAAAATGCCTCTTTGGCATACCCTCTCCACATGTAAGACATAAATAGTGTGTTTCTCTTTGATCTACTACAGGGATATCCTGTAACAGCATCCAAGGGCTCTTTTCTCTATATTGATGCCTTTGATTTTGATCTCCGTAATAGCAGTGTAAATAAAGCAGTGTAAATATACTGATAAAAGAATTAGATGTGGTTCTCTTTCTAAAGACCTGTGGGAAGAGATGAAGTAGTAAAAAGAAGAGATTTCCAAAAGCTGAGGATGTTCCATGGGAATAGTGCTAAAATATTGGCTCTTTCGTTATGACCCATATTAAGCTCCATTACATTTGAGCCTGAGAAGTTCTATTGAAACTCCGTGGATGAAGCTGCTGAAAATGTATGTTTAATAGAATAGAAATCCAAATAACTTTGTCCAGTACAGATACTTTTCTGTGCTCTCTGTTTAGATCATAATTCTCATCACAGAGGGAACAATAGTCATTTGCTGTGGTTTTTGGACAAACATTGAAAAATAATTGTATTTATATCTATTATTTAGACAAAATAGGAGGTGAAAAACCTCCTTGCTCTGCAAGTAAAGGGAACATGTTTATGGCGACACGAATATCTTTTCAGTAGTAACTGCTATCCCTAAGACCTTTCACAAGCCTGGTAAAAGAGACACTGTCAATTTCATTTGGCCTCAAACTGAGCTACTTTACAAGTTGTTTGTTATCTTAAGCTCCTAGTCTACCCAAGTACTTCTGTTTTTGTTTTTTAAAGAAAATATTCCTTACAGCTGTGAGAAATTTGTTTATGTAAAGTTGCAGAAAAAGTTTGCTTGTTTGTTTTAAAGTTTTTCAAGGACTACAAGGATCAGTTTTATGAAGAAGTATGCAAGAGGCATTTGGGACTAAAGTTTGTTCAACAACCCATAGCTTTGAAGGTTTTCCATGCTTGATCCTCTGTTGAAACTGACAGCTGCTATGAAAGGCATTGTGTTGTGCAATAAAATACACAGTCAAGGGGACAACGCCATTCCTGAGGAGAGGAGGAAAAGGCATAACAAGTTGAGCTTTTATCATGATGTATGAAGAGATATTTCTGTGACTGTAAGGGTGTTCTTCCTATCACATAACATTGGCACATGTATCATCGTGGTATTGTATATGAAACAAATATACATGT